CATACAAGTGTAAACAGTGTTTCTGAAATTATCACTGAGACAGTTGTTTATGGATATTTTCAGTTCAAATAAAATGCACTGCCGTTTGCTGGTGTCGCTAACGTAGCAACACGTCCAATATTGTAGTAGCACAACGTTGAAATGTTAAGATTTTGAATTAGAAAAAAAAAAGGCGCACTGGAAGTTTTTTTCATTTATGGTTGGATAGATTGTGACAGACAGTTAAACCAAACTTTCTTCTCTGGATGATTGATTAAAAAAATTTGAAGAAGATGTATGTTTATTTTTGGGAGCATGGATATGTGGTACATGGCAGAACGACTACAAACGTCATGAAGACCAACACTACAGGGGTCCTCTGCCTGCATAAAACATTGATCTCTATAGTTTTTATTATCATATCAAGCAAAAGCTTTTAGAAGTATTATTCTATTGTTTGTTTAATGAAATACAAATAACAAATAATGCATTGTATATTATATATTAATTGTAAAAATCTCGTGTTGGATTAATTTTTTTAATAATTTTTCATTTCTTTGTAATTGTAATATATCAATAAAGCTTTGCCCTTTAAAATACGTTCTTTGTAAATTTGATCCCATTTTAATTAAAAATTCAATAATTCGATGTCGACAACCATAAACCTTGAGACATATAAAGTAAAGAATTATTACCATCTTTATCTAATTGATGAATAAGAGATGGTGATAATTTTAATTTTTTTTTTTCCAATAATTTAAGTTCTTTTTTATCTAATAAAATAAATATCGAATCGTCTTTCGGAAACAACAGCTCCAATAATTCCTCATCTTCAATCATACAAAAGTTTTCTTTCCTCTCAATTTCTCGTCATTAAGTCTAGACATTCTCAAGTATAATTTCGTATATTAAAGAATTGTTCAAATCCAACATCACGATAAATATATATCAAAACATCTGATTGATTGTTCTCAACTAATTTTTTTAATATTCATCTAAACCTATACATAAAATGATCGTTCCATGGTTTATTTACTTCGAATATAACATATTCATGAATAACTATTTTTAGTATTTCCCATTGAATGGCTTGAATAAACATATCGTTATTTATCTTTGAAATCATTTTGAAAAATACTAAACATACTCTCTCAAACATCATATCCATTTTCAAATATTTGCTTCTGACATTGTATAATAAAAAGAAATAAATCAACTGTAGCTCGATAATATTTCATATTGACAAAAATTGAAGATCTACTATAATAAAAATATTCGTATTTATATAGAGTACATAGAAGAAAATATTCAAGATCACGACCAAAATAATTTCGATTATATATATATGAGAGAAATATTTGAAATAATTAGAATTTTAAATAATTCTAAAAATGAATTAATTGATATTGAACATTTAGATTGAGCATCATTAATATGAGAAAGAACTAATTCATCTACAGCTTTAGTCAGATTAAATTGACATAATTTATAATCGTCACATACACATCGAGCACCTTTTTTTAACACAAGTGATTTAATAAGTTTAATAGATTCTATAGATATAGAACTATTGTGTAAATGATTAAGTTCTTGTTCCATTAGATGATCTATACTTTAACCTTTTTATCCTTGGTCAATAATTGATGAATAGATTTAAATTTCTCTAAAAATGATTGAAGTTCGTGTGCAAGTTGAATATATTTTTGTTGTATATGAAAATTAAGTCATGTTTGTAAAATTGAAGAAAGTTTTTGTTCATTGACTGTTATATTTATAGATAATAACTGTTTCAATAATTGTTGAAACACTTGAGAATTATAATAATCATCCCATACATTAATATGTAAAAAAAATCAGTTAATAAATGCAAACGTTTGTCAATAAGAATCATATTTAAACGTTGATTTAAACCAAGAAATATTTTTAATATTGTAAAAGTATCACCACAATATTTCAAAATGATCATTATAATTTCATTAGGTAAAGTATCAAAAGTTGACAACATTGCCCATGTTTTTTTTTCTAATAGTAACTATATGGTTAACCAAATAGAATCATTCTTCTATTCATTTTTAAACATGCATGTAATTACGCGATCCCTCAATTCTATTTTTCATGATTTTGCAGCATTCTGTATACGTTTTTAAGCAGATTACGAAATAAAATAACTGAGATGTCTATTACTTCAGTTACTTTTTTCGAATGACATCACAAAACTACAAGCCTTTAGACAGAATTTCAATGTCTGCCAATGTAGACTCCCAGACTTGATACATCTCATAGATACAATAGTGAACAAAAGTTTTCGCCTCTGTCAATCTCGACTACTGTGTATGTCGGAGATCTTATTAAAGTTTGAACACGTTTCATTGAATTATCACGGAGTTATTGACATTCAAACGTACAGCGAACAATTTCTTTCCAAAACAATGATCACAATAAAATGAGCTTAGCCTTTGAAAGAATTGATGAACTTCAATGACATTAGTATTGCGGATAGCTCGTACATAGCGTTACATGTTATGGAGTTGACTGACACAGAATACTCCGCCTTTGCAAAGTTATGAGGCTGAGAATATACGTAAAATGGATGCTATCCATTATTACTCCCTTTCTCATCCAGTAATAACGGCGTCACAATACCAATAGTTTATATTCTTGATGACGTACGTTGACAGAGATTGCGAGGCCTTCAGCACCAAGAGTAGCCGAGATCTGGTGAGCCGAAAACTTTTATCCAGTACTATCAGTAGCAATGAAATTCGAAACATGTTTTTAAATATCATCACGGCGCAACAGCGACAGATTTTCAGGATGTGGGTGTGTGGATGCGGTATCTGCGATGTGAGTTGAATGTGAATTTTACTTCCATAAACACTCATCATCCACACCTACCCACAGCCATACCCACCCACACCCTTGTATTAATTAATGTAAAATAAGACAATAGCCTAGCAATGAAAAAGAAATAAAGACAAAAAGAATAAGAAACATTCTTGACGTATGTGATACATTGACTAAGAGTAGTTATGATGCATCTGTTTGTTGTTCATTAAGTCCTCAAGAAAAAAACAAAATAAATAAGACTGAGGGTGTGTATGGTTGCGGCTGTGCGTATAAAACTGATCTGGACTTACATCCACACCCACATCTATACCCTGCGGTTGTCAATAAAAACTTAAGGGTGAAGGTCGATGTTCGACTGTTCTTCTAAGAGTGATAATATAGTATATATGGTTCAAACATGGGATCTGACTGTCAGTCTATTAAGAAAAAAAACTTGGAAAGACTTCAACGTTGCTTTATTTTTGGAAGACCCAATATAAATGACTCAAATGTTGGCTTACATCTATCAACTTACACATTGAAATCTGAATGGAATTAGTACATTTTTTTTAATATTAAACTGGTAATCGATATTGTCACTCTTCAATTTTCGTCGACTGAGTGAGAAAAAAAATCAGTAAAAAATTGGGCTTTTTCCCGTTAAATTATGTGCTTTAGGTGGCCAAAGATAAAATTGTTGCTTGTGAAAGAAAGTAAGTCTGACACAATAACTATCACAAAATTGTAAAAGAAACAAAGATAAAATAGTTCTTTTATGACTTCATTTTGCGTAAAAAGTGCACGTGTCAACGAGCTAAAACACGACAAAATAAGCCTTTATCTGAATGGCGAGGCTTAGTGACAGAACAGAAACAAGCGAAATAACAAGAGATATATTTGTTCTTTATTCATTGAAATATATTTACTCTGGTGATTTCCACTTGACGTATAAGTAACATAGAAAACAAGTGTATTTTCTTTGTTTCTCTTTTGTGAAACTCACATATATTTTCGAAGAAAATAGTGAGTATAAGTTTTACGGTCAAGTTTTTGTGATTCTCCCTTCCCCTTCCCTTACAGACATCCCATTACAGACTGTAGCTATTTCACCAAAAAAAAGAAAAAAATTCTGTTCGAAATATAGAGATAAAAAAGCAGTATTTTTTTATTAGTATAGTGAAATCAAAGAATATATGTGAGTTCCACATTTCAGCCTCGAAGGGGCTGCGCTAACAAGCTTTTTTTTGTCTAGAATCAATCAGAGCTGGGCAAAATACTCGAAGTACTCGTACTCGAGTACGATATGATGGTACTCGTACTCGTACTCGTACTCGAAGGGTCAGTACTCGTACTCGTACTCGTACTCGAAGGATCGGTACTCGTACTCGTACTCGTACTCGAGAGTTAAGTACTCGAAATTCTAAATAATTATGCATTATATTAAAATGATGCTTGATAAAATTATAGTATCTTTTCCGAGGATGAAATACACAACTGATATCTTTTTTTTTATTCTTTATATACGTATCCGCTTTTCTATCGGAAAGAAGCAATGAAAATAATTTACTTTTTCTCAAAAATCTTTATCCTTCTCTATATGAACTTAATCTAAAATACTTGTCAGTACCGGCTACATCAGCTCTTATTGAAAGAATATTTTCTAAAAGTGGTTTTATTATGCGTCCACATCGCGCATCGTTAACCTCAAAAAATGTATGCTTGCTTACTTTTCTTAAATGCAATAGCGTTTTGTTGTAATTTGATTGTTTAAAAGTTTATGATGAAAAAAATAAGAATAAACATATTTTGATTCATGACTTTAACAATGTTTCGATCTCAAAATTAATACATCATTATTAAAACTATCAATTAAATTTTTTCTAATGAGATCTTAGGAAACTCACTCTTATGTACTCGTACTCGAGGGTTCGGTACTCGTACTCGTACTCGTACTCTAGGACCAGTACTCGTACTCGTACTCGTACTCGAAAAAGTCTGTACTTGCCCAGCTCTGGAATCAATCCAATTCTTTTTTAAATGGCAACCAGTAACAGCTATGAATATATCAATGAAAGATCAATAAATGAAGAATTGCTCTGTTCTATATGTACTGATCCTTTTGAAGATCCCCTCTGTGTGCCAATCAATGTGGACATACATTTTGTCGAAAATGTATAACTGATACATTTCGTGATATGTCAAGATGTCCAACATGTCGTCATGATTTGAAACTTGAAGATTTTCATCCAGTCACTATACGTCCTTTTCTTAATCAACTAAATCAATTACTTGTGAAATGTAAATAGTGGTGGCAAAGTAATATTGAACGTGGTAATTTCAAGGATTACTTGTCAAATTGTGTCGAAGAAATTTTATCATGTCCAGCAGTCAATCTTAAATGTGATTGGAAAGGAAAACGTGATAAAATACAAGATCATGTTAGTATATGTCCATTAATAAAGGTTCAACCGATGATCGTTGAACTCACTGATTTAGTTAAACAACAATCAGAACAAATACGTTGTCTCGATACATTAGTTAAACAACAATTAGGGCAAATCCGTTTTCTCTATACAATACTTGAGACACAAGCGAAGTACAACATTGAGGCGTGTGAAGAAAATTACGTTGAAAATACAGTATTATGTGATATCTGTGAACAAAAAGTTGAATTCTAGGGATCGATACATCAACTGCACTATTGTCCAGAAACAGACATTTGTTCTGATTGTGTGAAAAACTATTTCCCATAAACAAATCATCATTTTAATGATTATATTCTACATGAAGTGTCAATAAAAACTATAAGAAATGAAAATTATATTGTTTTGCTATCACATGCCGTATTGCCAAGAGAATAGATAGAGACTTACCTAGTTCATAAGCCTATTTTGAACATAGAAATTCTCGGTCAAATGATCCATTTTTTTAGAACTCACATATATTTTTCGAAGAAAAACGATGAGAAGTGTGGGTGTGGGTGTCAATGGAGGTGAGAGTTAAACGAAATGCTAGGATAGGGTGTGGGTATGAGTTTAGATGTGGAGTATTGACCTTTCATTCACCTACTCCCACACTCCACCCCGCCTTATCACCTATGTTATACATATTTTTCAAATTTATATACACTTGCTGTACAACTTGTTGATAGAAATGAAATAAAAAGTATCGTTGCTATACCATTAAGTACACAGAATATCATACCATTCAATTCGACAAAACTGAATATTCAATTGAAACTTTTCGTCATGAAATTTATATCATCACTTGAAAGATGTACAAATCAATCTGAGAAAGAGATGAAACGATGAGTTTTCTTTGCTTAACGGACAAAAAACTAACTGTTTCTTTTGTCCTTATTTATATAGGTGGGATAATAGTGCCGCTCAATTTATAGTACAAATGCAGACAAATAATAGTCAAGGATTCTGTGTTCAAACACAAAAAGTTAAATCTACTGAACCAGTCCATTACACAATATGTACACAAGTCAAAATCGAGGAGATTTTAGCTAAATTCTTGACAAAAATCAATTCGGGAAAATTTTATTCATGTCAACAGAAATTGAATCATCAATATAATATAACATTACAGCAATGTATGCAGACATTTGAAAATAGGTTAATACAAACTACTATAGCAGGAAGAAATCACTTTTGGACATCTATTTTTCTTTCGATTTATTACTCTTTTGTGTATATCATTAACTACTGCACTTTAACAGGAAAAAAAAAATTTCTTTATTTACAAATACTTATGTTTCATTTTTTTGATTAGTCTAAGGATGATTTCAATCTGATTTCAGAAGAATATGATTACCAATACATTTGATCATATAGTTAGAGAGTAATTTTTCAGTATCGATCAGTTTTTGTAATTTTCGAACCATATCTTCATTGGCATTTTGAATAGAAAGACATAAGAAACGAAGATCAAAATTGTATGTACTGGCTTGTATTAAAATAAATCGTACGAGCATTTTGAGATTCATGTGTTTTGAAATATTCACTTGAAAATATTGTATACAAGGACAGAGATGAAGAAGAAAATGCACTTGTTCCAAATTAATCATTTCGTCAAGATTGACATTTGTAATTTTACTATTGATCGATGTTGAAAAACTAGTCTCTCCATCGCTTTTAACCAACCAATCGGATTCAATACATGATAAAGATGATACTTTCAATGAATCAAGATTCGATAACAAATGTATGATTCTAACAAACATTCCAATAGGTATGGTCTCACAGCTAATCTTCAAACGAGTAAATGGAACAGAAAGAAATGTAGATTTGAATTTATTCATAAATAATTGATCTTGTTCATCAAATGAACTACTATTGATACAGAGTTGAATAATTGGAAGTAAGTCAAGTGAAGAATTGTTTGTATGTTCTTGATGAATATTGTAACTAAGATTTTTATTGAAATATTTAGCAATCTCTGAATGTTTATAAATATCAAGCCATATATTCCTGAAAAGAAAATTTTTTGGATAGATCAATAGAAAAGATTCTAAATGAATGTACCTATATGGATGAATTGAGCAATGAAAACTTTCTTCATCTATATTGATTCCAAATTCAAAAAACCATTGATGTTTAATCCAAAATTGTGAAGTAAATCGATTGATTTTTGTATGAAAATCATCATCTGCATAATCCGTTATATCCTTGTCATGATATTCGTAGTCGAATGTAAGCAAATAAGGTATACGTATTTTAATTAATTGTTCCCAATCATTAGGATCAAGATAATCTGAGCCCGTATGATATTTAATACGCAATACATGTACTGGAGCAAATAGTTTCGACATAAATATTACAAAGTCATCAAACCATGCTTCATACATATCAAAAGAAATATGTTTCAAATCGTATAACATTATTGGCTTTACATCTTGAAATTTTTCATGTGATTCTGTGACGTTTTTACAAATCAAATGATGTAGTCGAGGTGTATGATAAAGTATAGAGAATATTTCATTCAATGTGCAACAATGATCGATGACTAAATACTCGATTGTACTAAATTTTTCGTTAATAGCTAGAGGTACGAAAATATTCGTATGTTCATCTTCATAAGATGATAATACCGATAGCTTAAAGTATTTTAATGACGGAAATGAGAAAATCATTCGATAGATGTCATTAAGATTATAGTCCCATTGCTCATCAATATATATAGTTAATGAAAAAAGATGAGGTAATAAATTCAAATAAAACAGAGGTATGATAGATTCGTCTCCGTCCATGTTTCGAAGAACAATTGATTGAAGACGAGTAAATGATAAATCCATGATACAATATGTAAAAAAACCATTGATAAGAAAGTCATTTTTTAAATACAACGAAAGAATACGATGTCTATTCGGAATAATAAAATTTTGACAGGAATCTATCAACTCTGGTATAGTCCGTGAATCAAATTGAATCTTGAGTGAAAGTAATGAATTGTTAATGATATCTTGAAAACGAGAATTTAGATTTAAAAATCCTCGATAAATATCCCAACAAGCAAGATACTCAAAAATTTCATAGAACAGTTCATTGGACAAATTTTCAATACAACTAATCGATATCCTAGACAAAGATCGAATTCAACAAAAGAAAAAAGAAGAAGTATTGATTCACTTACTTTTCTTGTTTAAACGTTGCTAAAAAACTCAAATGAGAAATTAATCATATATGCAATTAAAAACTTACTTTGTAATTTTTTTCTTTGAACAATAAAAGATTCACTAGGATTTGATTCTCCCTTCATTTGATATATAATACACTATCGTTCGTTCAACTATGTTTGTTGTTCCTCTCTGCAAGTCATGCACATTTATGATTGAACCCAATCATGCCTAGTCTGTTTTGTCTATGAACTTCGTCTGAACTAAGGCCCCGAACAAACTGAACACGATAAAACTGAATTAACCAATACAATTCGCGTTGCTATGCAAAAAGGCCAATCGTGTTTCTTAATTCACTTTGAATAAGTCAGTCTGTTCGGGGCCTAAACAGTAGAACACAAAAACATTCTAGCTGATTGGAACATTTGAATCGACACTGTTCAATAGCTGTCGTCCAGTCATCACGCAGGGTTAGACTGACGGCAATTTATAGTCTAAATATCAGAATGATTTCCGTCTTAATAATGAATCATGAGACTTGACCAAAGAATATTTGATTCATTCATTTTCGTAGTTGTAAGTCTGCATACTTCATATGTTTAGTGTGAGTATATGACATAATGTAACTTGATATATTTCGAAATTAGGTCTACACTCGCCTGTGTACCGGATCGAGTTGCAGGACTCTATTTTGAACAATCGCATTTCATTGAACTTCCTTCTGTGCCAACCATCTTCCACATCAGCGGTGCATATAAGAATAATTGTATTTTCAGTAGAAGAATAAATGTTTATTAGTAAATATATGATAAATAAACATGTAAAAGAAAAAGAAAAATTAACTATCTTCTACAATAATCAAGTAAAATCAGAATATTCTATGCTTTTACTCGTAGAAGACATCCTAAAACCAATGAAATGTCAACAGACCTTGAAGTAAAAGGTCAAATAAAATGAACTCGAAATTGTGTAAATTTGAAATTTTGAGCTCACTTTTCACCAGTCTATATTTAATAGTTTACAGCAAATGATAGGCTGCCATGAATCGGAGCCATAGACTGAGCATTATAGAACTGTAAATTAGTTAATCAATCACTTAAGGTATATTAAAAATAGTGGCAGTGACACTTCAATACTGTATCGTAAGCTTTAAGAAACTTTCGTTCTACATAGTCTAATAAAAAAAGAATGCTTTCCCATGTCCTTAAAATCGATAAAAATCGACGATTGTAACGAAAACGATGGACAGTAAGTTTCGTAACTACTACAGTGTTTATTTTAATGTTTATCAACATTGAGAAACTGGAAAAGTAGTGATACTGTTATCCTCAGTGTACGATGTTCACAACACTACTTCATCATTCCAGTTCTGTTCATTTCGTACAGAACACGAGCTGTATACGAGAGAGAAAATAGGGAGAAGAGAATAAAAGGATAAACAGAGGACAGAGTGGAAAGGCAGCTACTATCGGTCATGAGGTCAGACCATTTAGCCGCAGCGTAACCGCTTGCCCTGACAACATTGGACAAATAGAGAATGCACAAAGGTCATGTCCTTATTATCGGCACAGTGATTAATCGCAATTTATCGAAACGATAATTATGTGCTGAATCGCGATAGAATCGTCGATTTTTCTCGATTATTTTGACAATTTTTGCGATGAATCACGATTTTATAGTCGATTTTGGCCTTGTATTCACAGATATTCTATGCGATTTCATTCATATAGAAGCTTTCTTTTAATTTCAAATCTTCAGAAGTATGTTAAATAACTGTGTAGAAATTATATTTGACTCTCAATTTGATAAACATTGAAAAGTTTCTTGAACTGATGCAAAAGTTCACAATCAATTATCGAAATCAGTGATTGAGCACGATTTATTGCTCCAATTTATCACCGTTTTGTTTAGCAAAATACGATTAATCATGATTTTCGCGACATGAACTATTTTTGTATGCTATTTGATCATACTTCAACAAATATCCTAATAATATATTTTCGATAAGATGTATTTCGTTCGGATATGTGCTGGTTGTAATTAGATCATAACGGGTGG